CCATTATCTGCTTTAAAAGATGTCCCTACCTTCGCACTTATTTAGCTGAAATAATTCGCACAGTATGGTCATCTGGCTCAGTCCCCTCTGAGTGGAAAAGAGCTTGTACGATTCTAATTCATAAAAAAGGAGATTCTGGTGATCCTGCAAACTTCCGTCCTATTACTTTACAATCAATTCCATTGAAAGTTTTTACCTCATGTCTACGTAATTCTATTTTTAACTTTTTGGTTACCAATAATTTAATTGAACATGACATTCAAAAAGGATTTACACCTGGTCTATCTGGAACGCTAGAACACACATCCCAAATGGCTGACATTATCAACAAAGCTCGTACTAAACAACGGTCACTTGTAATAACCCTTCTTGACTTGAAAAATGCATTTGGCGAAGTCCATCACAATCTGATTCAATCAGTCCTTGACTATCATCACATCCCAGATCATATCAAACTGTTGATTAAAAGTTTGTACACTGATTTTAAAACCTCAAGAATTACTCAAGAATTTAGCACTCCTTTTATAGCTATTGGTCGTGGAGTCCTTCAAGGTGACTGTTTAAGTCCTCTACTTTTCAATCTATGCTTTAACACCKTTATACAGCATATAAAGTCAGAAAAGTACCGTCAATTCGGTTTTTCTTACAAGTTACTAAATCCACTCCACTGGTTTCAGTTCGCAGACGATGCTGCTGTTATCAGTTCTCAAGAGTCGGAAAATCAGCATCTTCTTAACCGATTTGCGATRTGGTGTCAATGGGCAAGCATGATAATACGAGTTGATAAGTGTTGTACGTTTGGTATCGGGAAAAGCTGCACAAAGTCAATCCAGTACCTTCCTAAACTTCTCATAAATGGCGTTCTCGTTCCTTGTGTCAACATTGGAGAATCATTTCGATATTTAGGAAGATTCTTTGATTTTGACATGTCTAATGACCAACATCGATCTGAAGTGACCTCCACTGTACGCTCCATGATGTCTGACATTGAYATGAAACCACTTCATCCTAAAAATAAACTCCTGCTTTATGGTCGTTATGTTTTATCTAAAATATCCTGGCATTTAACTGTTGCTGACCTCGGAAAAACATGGATAACTGAAAATCTTGACCCCTTAGTAAATCAATATCTTCGCAGATGGCTAGAAATCCCCATATCTGGAACCGYAAGTAACACTTATCTACCACGAAATAAATTTGGTCTAAATATCATCCCACCTTCAGTCAAGCTCATTCAATGCCAAACCGTTACAAGAAAAGCCTTAAAATTATGTAAAAGCAGTGACATAAAATATCTTTGGAAGTCGTCTAGTAACAGCTCAATGATTCAATATGATGTTTTTCAATCAACTAAAGAAGTACTCAAGAACTTTAGATCTACACAAGAGGAAAAACTAACACATCATGTGCTATCACAAGGATCATTTTTCACAAACATCATGAAGTACTCCCTGTCATCACTTCATTCAATCTGGTCTACCGCTCAAGCTAATCTACCTAAGAACATTTTTAACTTTACCATTCGATATATCAACAACTCACTACCTACACGCACGAGTCTAGCAAAATGGGGTTTGCCAGCTAGTTCTGAGTGCTTCTATTGCGGTTCTTCAGAATCTCTTTGTCATGTTGTTGCTCGATGCCAATACTATCTACCATGTTTCACTTGGAGGCACGATTCCATCTTAAACTTCCTCGCTGCATCACTGCTATCTAAACTCGACAAATCTTCATTATATGCTGACATTGAAGGCTATACCAGCCCCTCGCTTATAACTGGAGATGCCCACCGTCCTGATCTTCTGATAAAAACACTAGACTGTCTTTTTATTCTGGAACTAACAGTTGGTTTTGAATCAAATTTGAAAAATAATGTTGATCGAAAATACAAAAAGTACGAAAATATTATAAGAAAATTAAGTAGTGATTTTAAATCTGTTAAATTTGTAAATCTCTCGATTAGTTCTGTTGGAGTTTTCTCTGTGGAAAGCTCAACGTTTTTAGAAATGTTCGACCAGCTAGGATACGAGAAAAAGCATAAAATGTATATAATAAGAAAAATAATCAACATTGCCATTAGATCCACATATTTMATTTTTTGTAAACGAAACAAAGACTGGGAAAATCCTGATTTAATGAATTTTTAGTATCTTCATATCATATCATTTCTTACTATTATTGTTGTTTTTTTCCCCCTCATCTTCTTGTATGTATCCAAGTACATATCTTGAGCTATAAGCCTTTCATTTCATGTAAAACTGAATTTATCTTTAATTCAAGTAGCCGATTGCAAATTACCTAGTTATTAGCGAGATTTGTAATTGTAAAACAAAAAGCATCAAAATAAAGTTTTCATTACGCATCTTAGTTAAAAAGGCAAATGCCCCTAATGTATTTTGACGAGCTTTGTACTATTGTGACCATATTTCTTGTTGTTTGATGTGCATTTTTTTATCAACAGGAGTGTATACGTGCACTTGGCCGAAAAGGAGCTCATTTACCGTTTCGTGCAAGCAAACTAACTCAAGTAAGTAAATCACAATCTTGGCCTTGTGTTCCAAGTCTCTTTGTTCAAGTGCAGCACATTTTAAGCATCGCATTTTAGTCGTATAGTCTGTTTCTGTAATGCCATTTGTGTAGTAGGTTCTATTTTTTCCAGCTTTCATCATTTCAATAGTTTCTAAGGCTAAAATACTGCGATCTCCTTACAGTGCTGCGCGTCGAACCGTGAACACCCAACAAAGTTTCGTACAAGTTTTTGACAACTTTTTGACGAGTTTTCATTGTGCTCTCTACCGTTAACCAACTAGACATCAGCGCTTCACCTTGAAGTTTGTATAGGCGGAGTCCGTACATCGATGTAACGATATCGAAACATTAAAGTGAAGCGCCAAAACATTGTTGGGTGTTCACGTTTCGGGTTCGGCGCTCAGCACTGTAATTAACGGAGTATTTGATATCGACTTGCCTTGCACAAGGTAACTAGTTTGTGAGTGTTCGTGTCACAGATAACAGTATATTTATTTATTGCTTCGAACCCCGGCGAGCAGCAATACTAATGTTTTATTGATGGTGGGCTTCCTGTGTGTAAAAAAATAAATAAATAATAGATAAAAATAAGAATGCGAAAATTATTACTACAATTCGTACAAAACTCAATTGTTCTAAGCCATCCCTCTACTCAGCGGCACAGAGCGCATGCGCTTTATAGTCCAGATGGCAATAAACCCCTTGCATGTGACGTCAAAGCAGCATCATTTGGGGGACAAAAAATTGGAATCTCCTGAGATTGGAAACCTATTGTTTTGTCCTCCAAAAGGAAAGGGACTAAAAGAACTAAGAAACGGCAATAACAAATCGAATTTTCGATATTCTGGTCAAGGACAAAAGATTTCGAGTCGAGGCTCCTGGGAAACAATGTAATTGTAATTAATAGAGAGTTTTAGATTTACGTTCACGGCAAACGTGAAACGTCAGTTGACCAGTAAAAAATTCTTTTAAATTACTGAAAAAGAATCGCAAAAAAGTCCAAGTAGTAGTAAAACAAAAGAGTATTTACGCTTGGTGAGAAGGTTTGTAAAAGGTAAAGTAAAATACAGGAAAACTATGAAAACGTGGTCACGTTGCCGTTTGCGGGCAGAAAAAAAAAGTCAATCTAAAGCTCTCTATTGTTTTTCTTTCAACGGATCCTCGACTGGAATCTTTTTGTGCTTGATCACTCAATCAGAATATCGAAAGTTGGCTATTCTCTACATAGAAACATAGAACATTGAAGCTAAGACCGAAGTGGTACATGGAAAATGACATGATTATATTATAATTTATTCATTTGCGCCATCCATGCAGTCGGTTTAGAATGCCAAACGCATATTAAAAACAGTGGATGATGTCACGGGTCGCCGGTCACAGCATGCATCTAATTAACGTACTTCCCATGTGCCATTTCGGTCTCGGCTTCTATGTTCTATGTTTCTGAACCCGACAACGATTCTTCAATTGAGTGTATATAGTTATTTATGCGTACAATAGATTTATAGAATAGAATACAAAAGGCATTGTTCTTCTATACAAAACGTTTCGCTTTTAGCGAGTCACTTTGAATGTTAATTGAAGGTTGTCGCGACACGAGTGAAAAACGTCTGCGCATGCTCTGAATCCGTATGCAAATTAGTCAAAACATAAGTAAATTTGACTTTCAAACATGCCTGATAATTTGGACTTCACAAAATGCCAAAACATAGTGTCCATGCTTGAAACTTAGGGCTAATTCTTTCATATTGTGTTTGTTAATACAGTATCTTGGTCAGACAAAAGTATACTCTCGAACTTTTTTGTATACTTGGAGAAAACAAACATTTATAGGTTAACAAGTGCAGGTTTTTTCTCTCACGGCATGAGATCAATAACGATCGTCTTGCTTGTGAAGACTGGTTGTAAATTATTCTTAATTGATGAGCTCAAATTTCGTTATTGGTTACGTACGGCGTCAGCAGAGCGTTAGTCTTTGAAGGGAATAGATATGCGGTATGTTTTGTTGTTGGTGCCAACGTTGTTGATATTGCCATTGTTCTTACTGTGATTAATGTTGCTATTTTTCAATCGATTATATTTAAGTGCCGATAGCTTGGCAAAAACAATGACAAAAAAGCCGGTGAATCGGAAAACCCGAATGTTTCCTATTCTTATGAAGTTATCTTTATAATATATTAGTTCTGTATAATATGAAGTTTAGCGTTTCAATATAGTCTTGTAAAATGGTAACTGCACCAGACCTCGCTATTCATCTTTGGATAATAGAATTCCTCGGCTTGGGAGTAATGTTTCCCCATTTCAGACCACGTGTCATTCCCTTGCGAAAAGATTCTTTGTTTAAGTTGTATCCATATTCATGTGTCTTCTCATGTGGGAATGTCTAGGGAATGTCAGGTGGTCTGAAATGGGTTGTTGTGTGGGAGGTCGTGGTTCAAGCCGGGGCGTTATTTAGGTAGGCCGGGGAATGACAAGTGGTCTGAAATGGGTTGTTGTGCGGGAGGAAGTTCAAACCGGGGCGCTATTTGTCTGTGTATGTATGTATACATGTAACTTTTTAAAAACTATTACCCAATACAATTTCAATTTCGCAACAGCGATCGCAATAGATAGATAGATATTGATTAATGGGATTATTTGTTTCCATCAGGTCTTGAGAGATTCCTTTATTGGAGAAAAATCTAAAACGTGTATGGTAAGCAATTAAGAGTGAAAATAGCTTGGAGAGGTTTATTTTTAAATGCGCGGGGGAGGGGGAATCTCGCACTAGCCCTTTCATTCAGCAATAAGTCTTTGTCCTCCTATTACGTCAACGAGGAAAAGCTTTCCTCGAAATAAAATGGTTTGACCCACCAAAAAGGTTTGAACGTTTTACTGATGACCCTCCTCTCTCATTCACCTAACCCCTAAAAAGAACGTGCCTTCCCTTTTTTGAGCTACGGTTTGCAACTTGGGTTGAGCTGCGCCTTGCTGTCGTTCTAATCTAACCGTGAACGCTCGAATTCATTTCATTTTTTATTTGTGTCAATATGCTTTTATTTTTTCTTTCTCTTTCATCATTTCTTCTCCTTGAATAGCTTTTATAGATCGTTTTCGATTCGTAATCTAATTGGTGGACAACTCGAGTGTTCACGATTAGAGTACAATGACAGTAATAATATTCAGATCTGCAAGTAGATAAGTATTCACTCTGTTGTTTGATATTTTTAAAATGTTTTTAATATCCACCGTTATATAAGCTCAGTGGCATGCTGTAAAACTCGGATTTGATGTCTGGACTGGACTGGAACCGAAAAAAACGGACCCACGCAGTCTGCTTTTTTTATAGAAAAGACGACATAGTGAGGCTTGATTGAAAAGCATTCTATTCTCCCAGTCTTATCATCTATTTCAAAGTTATCTGAAGACTAATGCTTTAGGTAACCAACGTCACAAACTAGTTTTACACTCTCCACCTGATCAATCACATGGTGATTGTTTGGCGAGGGAAGCCAGAGAATACTGTCTAGTAAAAAGGGAGAAAATTAAAAATTCAACTTATCTCAAATATAAACTGGAACACGTAAAACGAAAGTAGCACTGATACCTAACCGTGTAAGCCCCCTAAAATGAGGCGTATTTTTCGAAAAATGCAAAGACTTTCATTACTTGATTTATTCGCAGTTTTTTCTTAAAACAACAATGTAAAAAGTGCAACTCAAATACCGCTATTTAAGAATGAATAAATAAAAAATGAATTTGACTTCTTTAGTTCTAAAATCAATTCGAAATAATAGGTTTTCGGGTCCCTGGAGATAACAAACAAATCCTCGATCTATTTGCTAATAGCTTGTGTATTAGTATGGTTTATAGTACACTCAACAAAATTACTCGACTCTGATTGGTCGAGAGGAGTACAATTATAGCGTTAATTGTACTCCGTAGGAGTACCGAATTAGGTCGCTATGGAAACACGGCCAAAACAATGTCAACAGCGGCAAAACAAACAAAAAACAAAACAAAACAAAAAAAAGCCGTAAAAACTAATAAGAGCTAATCTTTATTATGCATTTCAGTTGCGCGATGGACTGAAAATCGGCCGCCAAATAGACAACGATGAACGGCGTCGCTT